AGGTGTAAAAGTTGCTCAACTTAAATAAGGAATATTTCTCTCACAACAAAAAAATATTATGGATCTATTAAAAGAAAAGCCTTGTGAAACTCCAACTAACTCGAGACATAAACTGCACACAAATCAAGGAATCGATATAGATCATAGATTAGTTAGAAAATTAATATATTTAGCTTACACACGTCTAGACATCACATTTGATGTAAGTCTCATTAGTCAATTTATGCACAAACCTATAAAATATCACCTTTAAGTTATTTATAGAATTCTTAAATATATTAAATCAAATATCAGAAGAAGAATCCTCTACAAGAAATATTATACATTACATATTGAAGGTTATACTGATTCAGATTATATTGGTTCATTAGTTGATAGGAGACCTTCACGAGGAAATCTTATAGTATGGAGAAATAAGAAATAACATATTTCAAGATCCATCACTAAATTCAAGTTCATAACTAGTGCCCATGGTATTTGTGAGCTTCTGTGAATCAAAATCATCTTGAAAGATTTAAAAATTAAGTGGGAATGATCTAAGAAGATATAAATGTGATAATAAATTTGCTATCAGCATTGCTCATAATCTAGTATACAATATATTCGTACCAAGCTTGTGGAGATGGATAGAATTTTCATAAAAGAGTATGAAAATGTTAGGAAACAAGTGTAGAAATTGTTGGCTTAAATTGAAATTTCAGCAAGATAAAATCTGAGATAGAGACGAATCTTGTGGAAAAAAAACACTTAAAAAGCTTTTAGATTGATGAAATACAAAAGAAGACAAACAAGATACAATGGATCTTCAATTCTAGAGGAAGATCTTGCTCTCCCAATTCCTAGCTGACAACTAGAGCCCAAGAAAACCTAAGAGAACTCTCAAATTCAGCAAAAATATAGATATCCCTAACCCTAGGTTTACAATCTTACTTAAAGCAATCATAAGAAAATAGTAAATACCCAAACAGCCCCCTTAATTTGAATTTCCCCCATAATCCTCCCCTTTAATTTCCTCTTAAATGCTCTTGAAGGTTGTTGGACCCCACCCCAAAGGGGAGTTAATTGTTGTGGAGGTGGAATACTTCCGCCTCCTTTTATAGACTTGGACGAGTCTAACAGAAAGTTCATTAATTTGTACTCTGCATGCACTAACAAAAAATCAACTTGCTAGCATATTCACCAAAGGTCTCTATAACCCCACATTCAAAAGTTTTATACACAAACTTGTAATGGTAGATTTTTACCATCTAATTTGAGGGGCAGTGTTGGAGACCATAGGGCTTACATCCTATGCATGCATGAGCACCCATTCTAATCTCATGTATGCATGCCATTGGTTGGATTCACATGTCAATCAATCTTGATAGGAATTGTTGAGCGCACGGATTAAGGATTCACCATTAGATCGATCCCCTCATAGTCATAGGAATACAATCCATGTGCTCCTATGTCGCACCGATACGAATACGACGACACATACGACACGATATGGGACACATCAATTCTTAAAAATACATGATATGGGTACGGCATGAACACAACATTATAATTTATAAATCATATATAAAAATTAAAGAAAACAATCAAAGCATAATTTGGTGGCATGTTTACTGAATAACATATGAGAGCTAAACTTTTTTTTTCTATTTAAGAAGACATACAAACCACAATAACCTTTGTGTGTGGACTCGTCTCGCGTAATTAACGATAGAAAAGAAGCTTGCGGTCGCTTGTCCTCATCTCAGGTAAACAGACGTTCGTCTCACCTAAACGAACGCCTCGAGTAAACGAAATATCGTCTCACGTACGCCCTCGTCTTGCGTATCACCTCGCCTCGTCTCTCATACGCCCTCGTCGCTCCTACTCAGCGTCAGCCACCTCTCCTCTCATGCTCCTTCGATGAAATGACGAAGACGAAACTCGCTCGCAGTCGCGGATGCAAGCTTGTCAGTCGTAGAAATGAAGGAGCCCTAATGCCTCATCTCGTGGGTTCGAAAATGAGAAAATCTCGATAGCATCCGCGGAAGTAAATATGATGCGTTTTTTTTCCTGGAATTTTTATCATTTTTCAATGGACACTCGTATCTTTTGAAATTAAATAGTATTTTAATTTGATACGATTTTGTTGTATCTGACACGTATCAGTGTCGTATTGGACGTGTATCCTATCCGACACATATCCGATACAACACACCTTCATAAGTAGGTGTATCAGTGCAATATAGATGTGTTCTCTTTAGCCATTAGCCCCTCCTGGGGTATTTTCCCCTTTTTTGTTAATTAATTTTGATTTATTTTTAATGGAAGACTCTTGGATGAGGTCTATATATACCTTCATATTTTGTTTAGAAAAGAGCATAAAAATTCGAAGTAATTTTTATATACTTCACTTTTGCACTTATTGCTTCTCCACAGCAAAGGAACTTCCATTATCTTGCAATTCTTGCGAACGTGTTTTTTAGTCAAATCTACCGAAACAAGATAGGGAAACCGTGTTGGCGGCTCTGCAAGTAGTGTGAACTTCAGGCTTCAAATGCTTTTTGTTAGCTGCACGCAAACAAATATTTTAAAAGATAGAATGTAGTCAATATGCTACCAGCTACGCTGCAGCAATAAAAGCGTTTAGAATTCTTTCTCACCAAATATTACTATTCGCTTGCTTATAATTATCTTCTCCTTGAATACCTACTGAAGAGCTGAGCATTTTTTGACTCTGCAGGACTGGGAGATTTCTGCAGCCTCAGAAAAGCTGGCAGAGTGTCAGGAAACCATCCTTGAACTTGGGAAACAGTTGAAGGCCTTGGCTTCACCAAAGAATGCGACTCTACTTGACAATTTGATCTCATCACCTGCTATTGTAAGACACAGCCGAACTCCACAATTGCTTGAACAAGTGATAGCTGTTGACAATGCCAAATTTGTGGATATCAAATCACCGCAGACCAAAGAAATCATATCCGGTGAACCTCAAAAAACTGATGCAAGCTTTCTGAATGGACAGAAAGGCTCTCTGCATTTTGTTTTACAAAATCAGGAGAGCAGCAACAGGCATGGTTATCGAGCAAAATCGCCTGATAGGTCTCCTGCAGAACTGGGTGGATCTTATACACAAAAGTGTGGAGTTGAAGTAGGAACTCTTGTGAGTATTCCAAAGAAGCAGAAAGGAGGAATTCATCTTCTGAAAAAATTGCTTTCAAGGAAAAAGAAGACAGCAATAAGAAGTTGGTCCTAGCCAATGTTTCTTTCAGCACTTTTGAGTTGCTGAGAATGGATCATGTCAGCTGGAGTGCTGTATTAGATTCTTTTGCTTTGTCTGTATGTCAGGATGTAAGAAATTTTTATTTTTGGTCTCTGTTTGAGGAGTTTTTTTTTTTTTGTCTGTATATGCTTTGTTTGTTGAGTGGCTTGTGAGGGAATAAGTTGTGTATGGTAAAATTGTGCATCTTGTTTGTTGTCTATGGCTTCGTTTGGGACGGTTTTTTTGCTGCTTCTTAAAGCCGCTTTTTAATATAAAATTTTTGTACAATAAAGCTGCTTTAAGAAGCAATAAAAAAAATCGTCCTAAACGAAACCTATATATATAATATACATATGTAAATTAAGTGTGACCGGCTGCAGCAAACATATGAATGTTCATGTAAGAAGTATTGCTATATAAAAAAGATGTCACTGCTATGTTTTTGGTATTTGTTATTTACTCTTTATGTAAAGAAATTGGCACTAGGCCCTTCTCATTAGGCAAGTTTATATCAAAGTATCAAAAAACCTACTACCCAGAAGGAGGTAATTGTAACCTTTTATTTTTATTGATGAGCATTCCTTTAAGAAAAGTTATACAGTTGATTTGCAATGTTGTGCATGTTGGTAACAGGAGAGGGGTGCACAATTCAATCTTCTATAATAGAAAATTTATAGACTCTTAGATTAGCTCCTTTAGGCTTCGAATAATTTTAATTCTACTGCTCAATTCTTCATAGACCCTTATAAAGAGGTAATTGGAATAAAACAGCAATTTCCAGCTTTATGAAGCTTGTTAATGGCAAATCATCATTATAATATAATAAATAATCATAAAAATGTCCTTTTGTAGCTTAAAATCCCTTGATGCATCATTGATGAGCAACTAATGAAAGCCTCTATAGCAAATATTTTAGTTTGGACTGTTATATTAAGCATATGTGCTTGAGGCACTAGCTTCTTCAATTCACATGATGATGAATTCTCTAAGTTTCTAGGTAATTTCTTGCTTCCCAGGGTCTTTGTGCTTAGGAAGGGATCATCTCATTATAGAAGGATGGCCATTAATGACCCAAAAAGTCCATGATAGCTACTAGAAAGTAACTTTTGGTTTTGAGTAGTGATATTATTGTGCTTGCATCATGCCTCAACATTTAATTTGAAAGAATTATATCTTTTTATACGTTAATAATAACAACCATAGTAACTTATATTGAAATACCAACGAAAGTAACTTATATTGATCAAAACATTAATATACATTTGTATTTATCCCTTAAAAATTCATATACAGTAATCATGCGTCATACAATACATTATATTATTCATTCACTCATGATTACAAAAGAATATATAAAGATAAATAGACAAACAATTGTAAAATTTGAGGAAATCCAATAACTGATGTCTCACACTCCCAATGTTCTTTTTTGACCTAAAATCATTTAACACATATATAATGAGCTAAAAAACTCATCAAGTCACTAAAACACTATAACATAACTCAGAACACAGTGACAAAATAATATGCGTGTAATAACTCAGTTCATAATAGTAACAATCAATATGATCATGAATTTATGCATAAACAATAAAATACTTAATATATAGTAAAATCCATAAATTGGTAAACAAGTACGGTACATTAAGAAAATAGTGAAATCTATAAACTAGCACGGAAGTCGAAACAATAAAGTAGTAAATACTTATTCATAAATCATACATCGTAGTTCTAGTTTAAGCGGTATTTTTCTAGTAATCAATAAATTAGTAACCGTTGATTCAGTAAATAAAATCATCACTTTTTATCCATCAGCATAGTAATCATCTCCTTATAACTCTTAATCAGTGAATTATGTAAATCAATAGATGATAACATCAAACCATAGTAATTAATGAAAAACTCATCGGCCCACAATGCATGCTGTAAAGATCAACCAGTTTTCAATCAACATTAGTAAATAATCAATCTTTGTTTATTTTCAGACATAGTATTATAAAAGTAATAGTAACCAACTATTTTTCAATCACATGCTCATATTCATTCAAAATGCTTGTATTAAAATGCCAATATTTCTATTCAGTGCAATTCATATAAAATGCAATAATTATTATTTTACCCAGTGAAATTAAAAAATCATCAAGTTAAAATGTCCACAATAATCAATACTAAAACATACAAAAAATTACATGAAAAAGTCTACTAAATCTAAAAAAAGTGTTATAAAATCATTTTGAGAAAATCGAACGGTCAAAATCAAAATCTTTGAAGACAAAAATAGGAAATAAGTTACCTACAACGATCCAAAATTTTTTCCTAGAAGCAGCGAAACGAACTAGCGACCAAAATTTTGGTTTTTTCTTTCCTCCTTCTCCTCTCCTTCTTCTCTCATTCCTGACCTGACAAGCCAAGAGAGAGAGAGAGAGAGAAAGAGAGAGAGAGAGAGAGAGAGGTGGCTAGGTGCAGAGAAAAATATATATATAAACTCATTTCAGTTCAAAGAGAGAGAGAGAGAGAGAGGTGGCTAGGTGGCTAGGTGGTAATTTTTGGCACTACTGCACTCTCAAGCACAATGCCTTGGTACTCCAGTTCAAATACAAATTCAAAATTTTATTTTAAATTTATTTTCATAATTTTCAGATTTTTACAGCTTGATCCCTCAATAGTTTTTTAGATAGGTTGTAGTAGACATTGGCCAAGGCAAAGTTCATCACGTTTATTGGTAACTAAATCATCATTTCAAGCCATAAGAGTAGGGGATAATGAGTTTGAGACCTATATAACTCTCCAATGAACATAGTTCTAAGCAAATAATTATAAACAAATAAAAATATATAATGAATATTAACCTTTGTAATAGACTTGGTCAATAGCCATGAATGCTTTTTGGGAACCATCATTAACATCTTACTACTGTTAAGAAAGAGAGTGCTCTTAACAAAGAGAAAAATGAGATGAACTATAGAGAAACTACAAAAAAGATTTACTACAAAAGAGAACACTAAAATTTATGTTGTTTGGCTTAAATAAGCCTATATCCACAACTTCAAGAAGATCATATAATCTACTAACCTTCAAAAGAGAAACATAAAAAATAATACTTAATACAATATTAAAGATATTAACAAAGATATACCTTTGTTTAGCTGAGAGAAAATTTAGTCGCCTATTATAAAGATGAGGGCTAAACCTCTTCTTTACTAGAGAAGCAAAAGAATTCTACTTACTAGCACCCAAAAGACTTCTTCCTTTCTTTCATGGATGACACCCCTCTCCTCTCTTCCTGTTTCTCTTTTTTCTGTGTTGCTTCTTTTTATGTGATGCTCTATAAGTGAGAATTAAAAGGGTTTATATTGTGAAGAGTTCATCTTTTAATATTAATGATCAAACTACTCTTGAAAATTCTTATAGTCTCTATTGTAAACTTTTATGATAACATTTATTTCAGATTTTATGATTGCCTTTAATTAAGATTTTGTGATAGCCACAAATATTTAAAAATTAAAATTAAATACTATCCAAAATAGATAATGAAATTATACTCACAATAATAATCTTCCACTTGGAGTCTAAATTTAATATAAGTGTTTAATGATCATGTTTAAATACCTCTTTATATGACATCTCCAAGTTATCGGTCTTAAATGCTCACTAAGGCTTTCTTATACCTTAGTCCATGGAAAAATGTTCATATTTTATTTTATTTTTGTAGCTTTTTTGTTTTTTTGAATTTTTGCTATTAAGTAATGGTCATCTATCATTTGAAAGCTCCCACTTGACAATTTATATTTTATAGTACTCTTCTATAATCTTAATCGATAGATTTCATAGCATCTCTCATCTTTTTTTTTTTTATTCTTGATGTCATATACTTAGTACCGTTTTTGCTTTCATGAGCTACCGCCATAGTTGTTAAATCGAACACATTAATTAGCATGTGCCATCATATTCTACAATACATAGAGTCCATTAACTAAATCCTCCTTTGTGACAACAAATACACACAAATATATCTTAAACGCATAAGCATCATCAAATAATTTATATCCTTCAACACTAAGGGCGCTTAGAATATTAGATTCTTCTCTAAATTTGGTACATAATTGACTCTAGCTAATGATTTAGTTACACCATATTGTGCCTTTAACTTTAAAGTGAGCCTTGCATATAGAACTATTTCTCATGTAAATAAAACTAACATAGCTTGGCTTATATATGAAAACCATATCTAAATTAGAATACATGTGATTAGGATAGGTTGAATTCAAAATTTACTACTCGTTATACATAATATTTTTTTAGTCATCTAAAGGGCATCACCAATTTTATAACTAAATAAATTTACAAATTAATTTCATCAAGTGACTTATCCTTTTTGTGGTTGTCATTTTCTTCTTGCTCTCACTTTTTCTAAGTAAAATATATTTTTTTCATATTCCCTTTTCTTATAACAAAAGTAAGTAATCTTTTTTAATTCATTATGTGATTTACTTCTGCCATGATAACAAGAGAACTCTTGCTCATAGAAGTTCCCTTTTACCTATAATGAAACTTCAGCTGATTTGTTGCTTCTCTGTAGCTTAAAAAGTCATCTCATTTGAAAGAAGCAAATTTTTTGCATCCACTAGTTAAGTTCCTTATATCATAATCATATAACATAATATCTTAAAATTACTTGTAAGAGGAGGTAAAGAGAATAAAAATAATAAAGTTTGATCTTCATCATCAATAATATCACCAACATACCCAAATATTGAACGATGGAATTAAATTTATTCAAATATGATTTAATAGGCACACCTACATATAAAGTAATAAAAGTCTCCACTTATGATAAATTTTATTACAGTGATTTTTGATCATGTATAAAGACTTCATCTTGAGCCATAAACTTTTTGTAGTTATCTCCTCTAAGACCTCAATCATGACCTTATTTTTCAAACATGGTTGAATCATTGAGAGGGTCTTCTCATCTATCTCTATATTTTCTTCTTTGATCATGATTTCAAGCATCTTTTTATGCCCCATGATATTTTCTTAAGTCCATGTTGGACAAGAACACTAAGCATCTTAACTATCCAAAAGCCATTTCTGTTTGAGCCATCTGAATTGAATTCTCAATCTTGAACTTCATGAACATTATACTTTTCATAACCTTATTTTAATACTAGTTATTAGGAAAGAGAGTATTCTCAATTTAGAGTTAAGTATGATGAACCATAAAGTAATTGCAAATAAGAATCATACCAAATTTTATGTAGTTCAACTTAAGTAAGCCTATGTCCACGACCACATAGAAATTGGATAATCAATTGAGCTTCAAAAGAGATGAAGAATTATACTTTATATAAAATTATAGATATGAATAAATACACTAATTTATCTAGCTGAGAGAAAATACAATCATCTACTGTAAAAATGAGTGTTATACTTCTTTATTAAAGAAGCTAAAGAACTCCACTTGCATGCACCTAGAAGAATTATGTCTTTCTTTCTAGGATGACATGACTCTCTCCTTTTATTGTCTTTTTCTTCTCTCTTTGTTTCCTCTTTTCTAGGATGATCTATAAATGAGGAATACATAGATTTATAGTGAAGTGCATACGTTCTAACATTAATAATGAACCACGATTAAAGACTTTTGTAGCCTCCTTATAAACTTTTAGGGATATCCTCCATTTAGGACTTTACGATTGCCTCCAATTAGAACTTTGTGGAAGCTAACAATCTTAATAAATCAAGATAAAATATTTTCCCAAATAGTTAATAAAACTATGCACTTCACTTAACAACTGGAACCTTAGATAGATCCTTTAAAGAAAAATTTCCCTCAAAATTGACTAATTACTAATGTTAAAACTTGAACCGAACAGAACTGGTCCAGTATTCCTCATTCGTGTGAACCAGTAGATAGCAAACAGCTCCCCTATTCGCGCAAGCCGGCCGCCCGACTCCTCCTTCACATGAATCATAAACGAACTGCACTTGTCTGACGTCTCTTCCTCCAAATTGTGATTTATTCCCATATTAGACAAATTCTCCTGTCTCGTTGCCTCTCTCTCCCGCCATTTTAGATGAATTGAAATCTATGGAATCATTTTTTTCCTCTTTTCTCCCTCGTAGCAGCCACCAAAAGTCCTCCTCCCTCTCTCAATCGCCTAATATCTTCTCTATTCTTCATTTTTGTTTCTTCCCTACGAATAGCGGCCATTGTTGACAAAGAAGATCCATCCATCTTCTATGTTTTCAAGCAAGGTGGAGTCTACCTTCTTTCTCTTGGATCAAGATTAGGTCTTTCTCCTCCCTCCTTTCCTGTTGATCAAAGTCGGGTAGGTGATTATTGTTATCATTTTTTTATTGTTGTTGTTGTTTGGATGTTTAATTGGAATTGTGGTGGTAGATCTTAATTAACAATACCTATATAGTTTTATGCTTTTATTTGTGTGGGAGTCTCTATGTTTCATGTATTGGAGTCTTTTTTCTATTAGTTTGTATGTTAAATTAGGATTCTTCTTGTCGGGCTTTTGGAATCATTGTCTTCGTAGCCTTGTCAATTCAATATTAGATAGGCTTGGAGTTTCGTATTGCTCTCCCAAAGGTAAGTAATTGTTGTTTATTTTGGTGTAAGCGTACCCTTCTTTATTAAGGAAAAAAACTATGTCGATAGTATTAGGTTCCTTTTATAACTATTTAGACTGACAGTACTATATTGACTTGTGATGCATAATCAAACAAGTACTAAATATTTATCATTGCTCATAGTAGAAAACTTCATAAATAAAATACTCTTGATTTACTGCTACATAACTTCATGTGTATCAATTTTGTATTTTCATGTATGCTCTTGTTTGAATATAATAAATGTTATGCTGTTAAAGCACATTACTTTAATTTGTTTATTGCAATACTTGATACTCATGTTATAAATCATGTTGATTATATAAAGTATAATTATCATACTAAATTACATAAAATCTATTGATTGTTTGTTACAACACTTGCACTGTATGATTATGTGTATGTCGGTATAATATTATTGGTTTTGACTAGTCGAGGTCTACCGCCCCTAGAGTGACGACTCTACAGCAAATCACGGGATTTCCTTAGGTTGGTGTTTCCCTTCCCCGTAATAGATATATGATGAATCGACAATAAAATATATGCTAAATATAAGAAAATATAAGTGGGTATATGTTTGAAGCAATAAGTGACTGATAGGTCGATCATGCATTTTGATGTATGATGTTATCACTTATCTAGAGTGATTGCCTTTATGGACATTGAAATAATTTGCATTGAAAGTAGTTTGATACATACATTAATGATACTAGCATATTAGATTGCTATTATAGAAAGCATGGTATGTTTCATTATTTCTTTGGTTTGGTGACTTTAGGTTGTTATTTCAACCAATTGGTTGCATGTTCATATTGCATGCATGCCCAATTCCTTTGTTATTTATGCTTTGATAGATAGTACTTATTTGGTGAGTTTAACTTATATATCAAACTCACATGTTGTCTTTTTCAGTAGATCCTACAGGCATCTTTGGTGGACCGCCACCACAGAAGCAGGCATGTTTATGGTGTGTACTTCCTTCTGGGCTCGGGGTGTGACAATTAAAGCCCTAAATCTTCTTTAGTTTTATATGACCACCACCATTGGTGCCTTAATGCCACCATCCCTAGTCTATGTTGTTGACGACGTTCCACTTTACCCCTCAATTGTTCGTAAGTGGAACAACTATATGCTCATTTTGGCGAACAATTGATTATTTACATAAGTGTTTGTCCTATGAAATTTTTTCTACAAGATTTTTTATATATAAACAAAATCACATTTATCTATCTGGGAGTGTTCAGTAAATTCTAGAGCTAAGGCAAGCATAAATTTATCATCTCACTTCATCAGAATTTCATCAAACACCTAAAGTACCATTCTATTGAACTTTTTTTTCTATGAAAATATAAAATTTTCATTAAAAAAAAAGAATAAATTTCCTTACAACAAAAATACAATATTAATTTGTGTAATTAAATTATGAAAAATTTGTACAAAACTCATCTGAAGAAAAAGGCACAAAAGCTTATAATGTGGATGAAGTGTGCTATCAATTTCTTTTCTAATGATTGCTTTCTTTCCTTGTTTCTGCCAGTCCTCATCAATTTACTCATCAGTTGAAGCAACAGCTACTTATGAAGAGTGTGAGGGGCATATATAGCGCTAGCTTTTGGAATGAAAGTGGAGATGACGGCATGAGGAAATGAATGGCCTGCAAGCTTGCAAGTCATCTTAATTCCCATCACCGTGCAGCTGCTCTTCTACTCCTCCTAATCAATGCCTTCAAAGCCTATTAATGATGCCACTAGGCATATACATAATTCCATGGTGGGCTCCTCCTAGCACTTCAAACTCACTTTTTTTTTGGAGAAATTATTCTGTGCGCATTTCAGACGTAGAGCTACATCCATACGCCAATAAAATTGTTACATTTGGTTTGCCTACATTGAAGATGACGACGTGGATAGTCCGCTTAGACTACAACCTAATTTTAATCTGTCTTATCAGCCCGACCGGAGGAGAGCTGACACCCGCCCACCCAGAGTAAAGGTAAAAAGGTGAATGGGGGAAAATTTTCACATTTCAAGCGCCTATTCGGTTTTCAATTTCCGGCATTCGTAGTTATCCGAGGTTCGTGCAAAAAATTCTCCTTGCAACTCCTTCCGGCATTCTCTTCTGCGCAAATGGAGTCACCTGTAAAAAAAAGTTGGTTTGTTGCTTGTGTTGTTAACTGTGTTTTTATTGCGTACAACAGATTAATTGTTTTCTCTACTAATGCACTCCATATTTTCTGTGTGCTCAGAACTAAAATCATAACATTTTAACATAAATACTATAGATCTTAAAAAAAAAAAGTAAACACACTAAACCATAAAAAACAAAAACATTCTGATAAGGAAAAAGATTAGTTATTTATTATCTTCTGCGTATTTTTAGGGTAAATAATGCGTGATTTTTGCATATCTTCTGCGTATTGCTGAAGACTAAAACTTTAATATTTGAACATAAATACTATGGATCTGAAAAACAATAAATAAGTAAACATACTAAACCATAAAAATTAAAAACATTTAGAGAAGGAGAAAAGATTAGTTATTTCTTATGTTCTACGTATTTTTAGGGTAAATAATGCGTGATTTCTGCGTATTCTCTGCATATTTATTGAAGAGTAAAACCCGGTCAGGCTGCAAGACAAATGATTTGGACCAGGTCGGGTTGCAAAACAAATGCATATCTAGTAAAAAAATCCACATCATCATCTTCCACGTAGGCAAACCACACATAACAATTTTATTGGCATTCGGGCGTAGCCCTGCGTCCGGAATGCGCACAGAATAATTTCTTTTTTTTTTGAGGGGGGGGGGGGGGGAGGGGAGGGGGAATGCATGACCGTTCCTCACATAAGAACATATTTGTAGTATTCAAAAGACAATTTTTTATACAATCACAATTTGCTATAAAAACAAATTATAACTTTGATGCTTTGTTACGTCTGAAGCCCCTAGGCAATTTTTTTCTGCTTAGTATCATCTGTATGCTGCAAAAGTTAAAATTTAAGAAAAATAGAATGTATGACAGACTTTCAGAAAAGAAATTAGAAATAGAAATTTTCAATCATTTCATATTATCATATATAGTTGAAATAAGCTATCTTCTATGAAATATATTTTAATAGTAGGACTTGGGACAGTGCGGCATGAAAGGCTATGGTTAGCAATTATAAAACTCGGAGTGCTAACTCCAACATTCCCTTAATTCCATGAAAGAAAATCTCACTCAAAACACATACTCTTTCTCACTCTCTCCACTTCTTTTGGTTTCCTTTTTCTTCCCTTTTTTGGGGATTGAAAGAATCTCTTCATTCCATCTCTTCAAAAAGGAAGAAAACACTTATCATGAAACCAAGCCATAGCCGGCAGATTTGACGGGCTAACATCGAAGACATCATATACTTTTCAAGCCAATATTCAACTAAAACAATGACATAAAAGTCGCAAAAAAAAGAAAAAGTAGCTTACTGGCAATCCCTTAATTCCTTCTTCAAGTCAACCTTATCTCATCATTTGGTCTTCTCATCCTTTCTCTCTTCTTTTTCTCTTTCTTTGCATGCTTCCCCTCCCCCAATCCCCACCACTATCTCTTTTCATAAGCAAGCGTCACTTAGTCATGACTTTCTATTTAAGAAAGCAAGTACTTGCTCACTTTGGCCTGTTCTGAGTTAGTGGTAAGTATACCATGAAGTTTCAGCAGTTGGAATTAGCCTTTTTGAATAAAAATTCCTCAACGTCTTCTTCCTCTTCGTCTTCCTTGACTCTTGGATTTAAGCGTCTTCGGCCGGTCGTACCGGCTGCATCCACTGTCAAGCCTGTTACTTCTCTGGAACTCAAGAGCTTCAGCTTCTCTAAGGCTTCTTCCGCACCTCTGCAACATCAACATGTCACTCTGGTAATTTCTCTCTCTCTCTCCCTCTTCATCTCCAAATTAATGCAAGTGATAGTTCTAAAATAGTTGAGTGAAAATTAATTTTATGAAAATTGTTGTAATACTATATATTCTTTTCCTCAAAAAAAAAAAAGAATATCAGTTATTATGATATTAAATTATAATAAAACATATTCACCAACAAAATTACAACAATAAATTGTATGTATGTATGTATGTCTAAAGCTTGTTTTAAAAGCAGTCAGGAGGGGGAACAAGATGGAACCCAACTCAAGAACAGATAAGGAAACTAGAGTCACTCTACAATAGCGGGATGAGGACACCGAACGCCCAGCAGATCGAGAAGATAACTGCTGAGCTGATCAAACATGGAAGAATTGAAGGAAAGAATGTCTTCTACTGGTTCCAGAACCATAAGGCAAGGGAAAGGCAGAAGCAGAAGCGCAACGGTCTCCTCAGCCCCTCCTTGCCACCAGACTCAAACTTCTCTGAAACAAAGGCATGCTTATACATGCACACAATTTCTAACTAAGAAGATAAGATACCTATATATACATATATATATCTTGTTCTAATTAGAAACTTTAGTTGGTGCTATTGTAGGGAGCTGAAGAGAAGAAGGAGAGTAGAGATGGGAGAAGCAAGAGGAGAAGCAGGAGTTGGGGAGTTGAGCTTGATCAGATTATTGAGTGCGGCGGTGATGACAGAGTAACACTCGAGCTCTTCCCTTTGCACCCGGAGAACATTAATGGAAATAACTACTTTTAAATATATAAATCAGCTTATGGACGATTGTTGTAGTTTTTAATTTGTTTGTTTATGAGATTATGGTGCGTTGTAGGTAGCTTTTTCCTTTTTATAACCAGATCTTTTCTGAAAAAGAGAGTTGAAACAATTCAAAATAACTTTTAAAACTCTATTTTTTCACAATAAATTCACTACAAATTTTACTGAATCATCTGAAACTATAATCATCTGGATCTTAAGTTGTCAAGATTCTGCTGCTGCTGAATTCCAGTAGCTGACTCTGCAAAAGAAAACATATTTGGATGCTTAATTATTTGAAGTCATGCTGCTCTTTTCCAAGGCCTGACAGTGCTGAACTTTTTTTTTTTGTTGGTTTGAAAACAAGGTCGCGCGTGGGAAGGTTAGGGAGACATATTCATTATCTGTCTTTTTCATATGTTTAGTAAAGTTAATATAATTTAGCGAATTTCAAGTAAAATTGATGACAGAAAGGAAAAAAAAAACTTGTTATCCATTGGTCATGACTATGATCATAATGAAAATTTTAAAAATTATATATCCATCATGCATCATTTATTTAACATAAAAAATTGTATTTGTCAAGATACAAATCACCATGTTCAAATTAAATGAATGATAATGGGAACTTCTTGATAAAAATTTTATTTATTGCATGAAAGTTGGAAGAGTTGGAAGCTTTCATAATCTAGTTGATAAATGCATTTTAAAGAAGAGCATTCCACATAATGTTTTTGTCCGAAAGTTGAAAACTTTCACGATTTAATTAAGTTGCACTTAATAAATTTAAGTAAATATTTTATCTTCTTTTTTCGTTTACTTAATCCTCAAAGTCAAAGCTTATAAAGATAGAAGTATAGAATGGTGAGAAGCAATCATGAGAGAGAGACAATCAAAGAAGAGTTATAAATTTTACTACACGTACACTCTATTGTGCTGGTTCACTACCTCTCTACTGAGAACCGCTTATATGCGATGGTTGCTAAAATTAATAGATGGTAGAGTTAAAGGTGATGGCTGGCCAATTTGTTAGGCCAACGCTTAGGAGAAGATCTCCTTTCATGCTTGATGTCAGCCTCCTCTTTCTTATTTCCCTTTCTTCCAATCCTTTCTTCACTAAGGATTAAGTGTCCTTTTCAAACTATAGCCTCTTTTTTTGTGGGTTGGGAGAGGATGAATAGACTGGAGGCTCAACACCCCAAGAAAGAGAGAGCATTCAAAGGTTATGATTTATGTAGATCAATGCAAAATAAAGGTTGTGCTGTGTTAGATCCTCTCTCTCTCTCTCTCAAGATATGAATCAAGTTAGAAAGTACTATAGCAAGGAAGCAAGGGAGCCACTATAATGTTACTAACGAAGAACATAGAGTGAGATAGTCATAAGGATCTTGATGAACCATCTTCTTCCCCTCTCTTGAAGAAGGTAAAAGAGGAGAATGCAAGCACGAAGGAAGAAGTTGTTGCAGAGTTGTCAACTTAAGTGATCTACGTCAAAGTAATATTTCGAGCAAAGTTATGATTTTTCTTTGTTGAGTTTATATTGAATGCAAAAAAACAAAGAAAATTGTTAGTGACCATATAATTATGTCGGGTAAGTTATCAGTTTCTAAGGAAGAGAAAATTCAATTGAAAGGAAAGATTTTGTTAGGTAAATTATATTATTAAAGAATAAATTGTGGAAAAAAGCAAATATTTGTTCTTGATGATAATTGGTATATTCTTCTTATGTTATTGTGAACAATTAAAGATTCTCATACTGAGAAAAATATTGGAAGAGAAAAATAAAATGAATAATTTATAAATTAAGTGTTTTTGTTCCATTCAATTGTTTTCATGTTTTCTTTAATTATTGCAATTATCATGTCTTACATGAATGATATTAATGGTTCAATTGCTTTCATGTTCCTTTTAATTTTATGAGAATGTAAATTAGTATTTTATTGAATATATATATTGTATAGATCACTATAAAAGGTATGAGAAATGAAATACTGAATTATGATCTAGGTGAAATGGAAGAATTAAAATATGAAAAATATATATGCATGAAAAATACATGAGTTCACTCTCATATGGTACTGGCTTGGGAAGTAATGTACCCGTGCACATTATATAGAAATTAAAATGGAAATGAAAATGGTTGTACCTTTATTGGTATATTTTAGACATTGCTCCTGTACTCATTAAATTGGAAAATGTTTATGATGAAAATGAATATAAATTGGAAAAAGAAACAATGTTAAATTTTTTATGATGAAATGTATATGAAATGAAAAATGTACATATAAGATATAAAAGAAAGAATGAATGAAAGGAATAATGATATGAAGTATACTAAATATTTTATGATATGAAGTATACTTAATGTTATATGACTATTTATATAAATTTTAATATTGTATTTGAAATGAGAAAAAGAATATGCATTTCATTTTTGTACATGTATAATTATTATGCATATATAAATGTTACCCACTGAATTTATTTTATAAACTCAACCCATTAAATTCAATTATTTTTAGGTAAGTCTCCAGAGAATTAAAAAATGGCTAAAAAGGAAGAGTATATCTATAAAAGATATAGCACCAATAAAAACAGGTAAATTATGACGGATGTAAATACTTAGTTTTTACAAAAGTGGTATGAATAGAGTTATGGAATATTTTTGTAATTGTGGCTCTTCAGTTGTATTGAGAAGTTTTATGTTAATTTGCTTATGAAAGGAATGAAATGTATTGCCGTCCGATTTTTATTTCCGCATCGTTAATTCGAGTATTCAATCTAGGTCGTGACAATCATGGTTGATGATGCTCATCTTTGACAAGTTCAACTACCCAAAAAAAAAAGTTATTGAATTATTGTAGGAAATTTACATTTTTCAAAAGCAATTGCTATGAGTATATAAACTTTTATTTATTTTTAATTAGGCAACTTTTTTTTTACTGATATTATACTCTAGCGAATTTGATGGTAAAAAGTCAATTCATATCACAACAATGAAAGTCTTTTTTCTTGATTATGAGTTATGACTTTTATTTTATAATAATAAATATTATTTTTTCTTCAAAATAAATTGTACAATAATAAAAAAAAAGGATTGTTTTTATTCACGCTGAAACGGTCTGGCCGGTCCAATTTAACAGCGCTCGCCAATGGCATGAAGTCGCTCTCTCGAGAGTTCACCTAGGCGAGCGATGGAGACGCGGCCTCTCGCCGTTCTGGTCTCCTCCCTCGTCTCTCAAGCGCTCCTCCTCCTCCTACTAATCTTACAATCCAACCCTAACCTCATCATCCCCTCCCCTCTTTCCCAAACCCTCATTACTCTCCTTCATCTCTTCTCTTCCCCCAATCTAACCGCCGCCACCTCTCACCTTCCCCTCAAACGTAAGCGTCGTCTAGAAATTGATGAATTGGAAATACAGGAGGAGGACGAGGAGGAGGAGACAGAAGAAGATGACAACGATCATCGAATCATTGAAGAAATGACCCCCTGCAGTGCCCTCGCCCCTCATCCCAATCCTGATCACTTCAAGCTTCACTTCGGGATGCGCTCGGCTACCTTTGACTGGCTTGCCAGTCTGCTCGATCCCCTCATCGACTCCCGTGACCCCAGCGGCTCCCCATTCCGATTACCGACCACCACACGCCTCGCTCTCGCCCTAGCCCGCCTCTCCACTGGCGCTGACTACGCTGACCTTTCCTCCCGCTTCTCCGTCTCCGAGCCTGCCGCCCGCTTCTGCACCCGACACCTCTGCCGAGTCCTCTGCACCAACTTCCGCTTCTGGCTAGCCTTTCCCTCCTCTCCTGAATTACTTCGCCCTGTCTCCTCCGGCTTTTCCTCCCTTGCGGGCCTCCCTGGCTGCTGCGGTGCTTTAGCGCCTGCCCGCTTTCACCTTCACCGAGGCCCAGCCACTGCCTTTCTCGTTGCCGACGTTTCCTCCAGGATCCTAAGCTTCTCTGTCAAGTTCCATGGCGAACGCTCGGGCTTTGAGGTTCTCAAGCAATCCTCTTTGTATAAAGACGCCATGGAGGGGCGGCTTCTGGGGCCGGAGCAATACCTTGTTGGAGATGAAAGTCAGAACCTTTATCCTTGGTTGATGGTTCCCTTTGCAAAGCCAGTGCCGGGGTCTTGTGAAGAGGACTTCAATTTGGCACTTCGTGTGATGTGCTGGCCAGCGAGAAGAGCAATCTACAGCCTCCATAACTGGAGAGTTTTGAGCCGGCTGGAGAAGGAGAGTGCTAAGGTGGCCGTTGCATTTATTGGGACTTGTGCTATACTTCATAATATTTTACTGATGAAGGAGGACGATTCGGCACTGGCGGATGTAGGTGAGGATTTCTTATTGAGTTCTGAGCAATATAGGAATGAGGAAAAGCATACTGCTGACAAGAAGGCTATCTTACTTAGGAGTACTTTGGCTGTGAAAGCAAGGGAATCTGGAACACTTTAAATTCGGTCTTCAGTAGACACTGGTGATTGCTTGATTCGACTCTTCTCTAATGCCCAATTCTCTAAGGATTCATTGAAATATGTTTTATTTATGTTTTTTTCTGCTGAAGTATCAGGATTCATCTGAAGCATTCTTTTCTTCAGACAACTATAGTTTGTTTTATTTACTTTCAATTATAAGTAGGTAGATCTGACATCTTAGAAGAGCTTGCATGTCTTCAATTGGCTGAATTGTTTTTACTATCATCTCAATACCATTTACCATACTTAAATTTCTGCTATTAAGTTATGCTATTATAAAGTGTTTTGCATGGCTGATTAAATAATCCTTTATCTGTTTTATGCATGTAAAGGAAGATTTAAAACATATGCATGAATTAAATAGTTTCACGCTGTAGTAGTTTGCCCACAATATAGATGTAGTTATAGGAGTAGGTGGAAGTAATTAATTTAACCACTTTATTTAGTGTTAGTGTTAATCATTTAGATTAGATCTGCAAAGCCTTTCGAAATATGCAGAAATAGGTGATAATATATTGTTATATGTGTGCTTTCTAGGTTTTGGTAAGCACTCTTCTTCTATTCCTTGATGTCAACCAATGCCCTTTGCATTGACTTCTTGCAGCACCTGTAAATTTGTTATTGCTTATCATTTCTGTTATGCTCATTGGTTTACTTAAATACTTTCATGCAAAATCATATAAATGATTAATGGATGATATAATGTGATGTGACATATGTAATAATTGTGCTAAAATACTAACATGCTCTCTAACGGCTACACTATGGTTAATTGCTAAAGGAGAAGATGGTAAAGAAAACTTAAAATTGATATTTAGTATATTTCATAAAGTTTTCTTTTTATAGCAGAGAAATCACACAAATATGACGTGTCAATCATATGGACAAATAACCTTTTAAAGAGAACTATTCTAAATGACTTAAATATTAATTGCAAGGGATTATACACTTCTCATTTCAACCAAATAAATGAATTTTTTAATTTCACATTTATTTGAAAACACTTATTAAGACAGCCTTTCAGAACATTTATGCAATTTTATTTTTGTCTATGAGTTTCTTTTTATTGATTTGTAAATTAAGAAAAAAATAAAGGACTAAAAATAAAAGTGATATCAGTTTGATTTATAGAGATATTTTTGTTAATTAGTTCCTCATGGGTTAAATGATCAAATTCTTTAATTGATTTATCAACTTTAGTAGTCATAAATTGTTTAAAGGCAGTCAAATAATATATCCAAGTTTTAATTGAGTTTTAGGTTCAGATATGATCTTAAGTTCAATTTTAGTTTTAGTCTTGGTTTAAAATTGCGCAATATGAGGCTCGCCTTGAGGACCGCCTTTGCGCAATTCCAGTAAAAAATGCATCGATGCTTACGCCTCGAGTTTTTTATATGAGGCTTGCGCTTCAACTTGGTTGAGGCCCGCCTCATCTCACTGGCATGAGGCTTACGCCTCACGCTATATATATTAAAACTTACATAAATCTTGAAGTAAATGCCCGACATTGGACTCTATAGGAGAGGAGGAAGGGGAGAGAGAAGTTCATCATAATGATGATTCAAATGAAGAACCCCTTAGTGATGACAGTGCTGATGACTTATGAGTTCTTATGTGATATGTCATTGCTATTTATTTTTGAAAATTTGAATTATATGTTAATGAAAAGAATACTGGGATTTGGGAAATATAGAATTTTAAGTTGAATTATATTTCATGTTGTCTTATTATTGAAATATTTTGATTTCACTTCATATCTTATGATTTTTTATGTTTTATATTATTTACTCATTAATATATAAAAAATTTATCATTTTATGTTTACGCAATCTTTTGATTTTGAGGCTTACGCCTCGCCTCACAAATGAAAAGCGCCTCAAAACCCGAATATGCAATTTTAGACATTGGTTTTAGTTGATTTTTAATTGAGGTTTAAATTTAAAAATTTTTGCTCCCTCAAATTTATGTTTTTGATTTACATTTTGACTTTTACTCAACTTTAGGAATTATTGCTTTCTCCAATTTAGTTTTTGGTTTAAATTTTGACACTTGCCCAATTTTAGTTTCTAGTTTAGAGTCAAGAATATGTTCTAATATAGGTTCTAGTTAGCATCATTAATGATTCTTTCTCAAGTTGATTTGACCCCAACATATGATTAGCTCAAAGTCATTCAATAAGATCTTGAACCAAGCCAAGTCTAGTGAAATTTTGGCTGAATTTGTTCTCGATTTGATCCAACTATGTCTCATTAGCTTTGATTAAAGCCAAAACTAAATCTGATGTTGATCTTTTTTATCTTTTAAGATAAATTCTTAATCTAACATATATACTTAAAGGGTAATATATATACGTACGTATGTATGTATAAACACAAACATTTGCACATAAATGTTTATTTATATTTTGAGCTGATCTCGAGCCAACGTGCTATGATTCAAGCACAACTCGAATTTGACTTGAAGATCAGACCAAGCCAAAAGTTGGCTCTTGGCTCATCTTATTTAGAATTCAATCTTTAATCTTTGAGCTTAAATCTTAACCCGAGTTTTGGTGTAATGTAAGCAAAATAAATTTTAGCATCATTTTGTAATTAGAAATCTAGTTTACTTTTGAATCAATTGTTTGAAGGATATTTATGAAGTATGGTTTACTCAATATAATTGGATTTTGCCATAGATAATTTTTGTGTGGCTTTGATGGACTTAAGAGGAGATGCAAATTTTTTTTTTTTTTTTTGGGATATTAATGAAGAGTGTGACAATCTTAACTGAGGATAATTGTAATATTACTTATTCTCTAAAGCTTTTTAGAAGGCTTCATTTAATGCTTTTTAGAGAATTATAGTTTAGTTCAGGTTTAATTTGTTGTTTAAGGCATTTAATGAAACATATGTTGATAAAAAGTAATTTATAGCCTGATAATTTTTCCTCACAAGATCTTTCTAGGTGAATGGATGGTATATGCTAAATTAGTTGTTCAAGTATATGATGTAGGACTACAATGCTTACAATGATTTTATTAAGAGCTTGCACAACTTATTGATTAGAGAAATAATAAATAGAACTATTAACAAATAAAATGATGAATCAAAACATAAGAGTGGTCACTTTCGTTTAGGCTAAGTTGCATATCAAGAGATTTGAGCCATCAAAATATCGTAGGAAAACAATATTATGCAAATTAGTAGCTTTCAACAAAAATTCCTAATCTAACAATAAGATTTAGAAAATAATGAAGTGCACTCAATTCCCTACGTTTACTAAGCTCGACAGAATCGGGCAAACGCGTCCTTCATGACTACAATCAAATCACAAGAAAGGATTAGACTTAAGAAATACTAGAAAAAGAAAATTAAAAAATCTTCGTTAATGATCGGTTGTAATCCTCCACTCGACGGTTCCAAGTTGTTCTTCAATAGCCCTAACCAAGGTATCCAGGATGTGCTCCACGTATTCTTCTACAGTGTGATCGATGCGCGGGTTGACGTCGAAGAAGGTTGAATGCAAGATGCACACAAACCCTTGTTCATCTTAGGAGAGGCCGTAGTCAAGGTTTGGATCGGCCATGCATTGGCTTTGAGTATGTGGTGGTACTGATGACGCCTTCAAAGCTCCTAGATGTCTTGAGAGAAGAGGGATCCTCACAAGAAGTAAAAGCTGAGGGGAGAGGGTTCAGCCAAAGGGGAGAGCCACACGTGGGTTAGGATTTAGGTTGGAGGTGATGTTTTAAATTCAAAAGTATGATATAAATTTCAGATTTTTAAATTAAGAGAAAAAAGAATTAGGAGGGAAATTGAATTCCTCAAAATTCGGGGAGGGAATTAATGAGAGAGAGGGGGGGGGGGCACCAGCATGGTGAGAGAGGGAGGGGTTTAGGGAATTAAATATTGAGTTGCCTATTCAAGGGAGTCTTAAATTAGGCAAGAGGTTAAATCAATTTCAAATAGAATTTGATTTGGACTTGTTTATGGAAACTTTCTTAAAATAGATTAGTTAAAATTATGAGAGAATTTGAATTTCAAATTCAATTAATTTGAATTCCAAATTGACCCTAAATTAACTCTAACTAAATTAGGAGACTCAAGGAATAAGGAGGTGTAGTGGGGTTGGCGGCTATAGGGGGATGGGGAGGAAATTAAGGAGGCTTTAATGCTTCCTTAATTTAGGTGATTAGATTTAGAATGAATTAATTCATTCCAAATTAATTTAAAATCCAATGGGGGGAGATTTGAAAACTTTCCTAAAATAGATTTTATAATTTAGGAAAGATTTTGAATTTCAAATTAGGGGAAATTTGAATTCGAAGTCCAATTAAATTATGGCAATCCAAAATTAGAAAGTAGAACCAAGGGAGCAAAAGGGCTTAGGCCGACGGTTTGGATGGGGTTTGGGTATGGAAGGGCCAACGGCTAGGTGGAGGGAGAGATGGTACGGCCGGTGATGGTAGAGGGGGAAAAAGGGAAGGAGATAGAAGATAGAACCACGAATCCGACTTGTCTAGGTTGATGGGTATTGCACAAGCTTCACTCCCCTAGGGATTTCACTCCAAACTCTCAAACTCTCAAGCTTTCAAGAGAATTCAAACAAGAGAAACAAAGTTTTCGATTAATCATTCATTACCTGAAAAGAAAAACAATGGGGCTATAAATAGCCTCTTACAATGATTCAGAACATAACAGGACAACAATGCCCCTAGGGTTTACATACGACCTCCCTTAGTAAAAGGGTACAATGGGAAACTAATAAAGCAAATACAATATGACATCATAAATAAGAAAATGCATAAATAAAAAAATACATAAAAAAAAATCAGAAATACAATGACTCAATCGTGGCCGTAGATCGACGGTCACGTCTCTGATAAACCTTCCACGATCTGATATCCCCATCAGTATATTAACGACATTGTGAGATTGTTGAAATAATGGTACTACTAATAATTAGTCAAAGACTAATAACTAGTCGATCAGGGTTTCATTTTTCAAACCCTACAAACTTAGTTATCTCTTAGAAGTAATCATATTTATTGATCTCTCCCTATTCAAAGATTTGGAATTTAAATTGACTTAATTCTCTTAATATTTTTTTTTTCAATTAGAAAATTTTTATTCATAACAATCAATGATCCCTGCTAAGCATACATGATTGAAATGTTTTGATCACTTTCAACGCCCAACTCGTAATTAGCCATTTTTTAGGTTCAATCCCCTCTTCATAGTTTAATTTCTTGATTTTATGCCAAAATACATATCTGAAACTTCTGATTCACTATTGAAGACCTGTCTTAGCTTTAAAGAAAACGAACTACTAAAAAAAGCCCTTTTAGGAAGCACTGAAGATGTTACTGGTTAGGAGTATTTTAATAAGATACTTTTTAACTAAATGAATGGTTAAATATAATAGACAGCAGTGTTATTCCTATATTTGGAGTTCAACTTTCTAAATGCTTATGAGGCTAGCTATTATTTCTGTCAAACATGAAGGACTTGCTTGCTGTTCAACCTTAATGAAGTATGAGTGATGAGGACATCAGGACATGGAAGATTTATTAGAGGCATGGCCGTCGATCTACGGCCACGATTTCACTGCTCTACTTTTGATTTTCGTATTTATTATTGATGTATTAGTTTTTATTTATGAAGTTTTATTATGCTTTTCTATTTTTGCCCGCCCTTAAGGGCTTAGGTATGTGTAAGCCCTAGGGGCATTGTAGTACTTTTTATTTTCTCATTGTATGGGCTATTTAAAACCTCCCTCTTCTTCTTTGAGGGTTAATGAATGAATTAGAAGAAAATTCTTGCACATGTGTTCTTTGAGTTGTGAGAGTTCTAGGAGAGATCTTTGGAGAAATCCCTAAGGGGGGAAAACGGATCACCCACCAACCTTGAAGACGGCCGGGTTCGTGGTTTGTTTTATCATTTTTTTTTTCTTTCAATCTCCTTTCCTTCTAGCCGCCGGATTCACTAGCCGCCGGAAAATTTCATCTTGTACTAAAGAAATTTAGTTGAAGAAGTGCATATATGGATGCACCTAGAGTCCTATCTAAAGTATTTTGGAAAATTCTTGTGAAGAGAACTAACAGTGAGAAATTTTATTGTAATTTGCATTTTTTATATCAAGCATGACCTTTTATTATAAAATGTTAATTATAGGATGCTAAATGGTGGGAATCTTTAGATTACATGGCTAGCATTTCTTATTTTAGAGAAGCTAAAACGGATGCATTTTTTAGTCTTTTTTGTTTATTTTTTGTGCCCAATGCTTTAATTTTGTTGTAAGCCTTAAGTTGAATTGTATAATATTTTATTTTATGGAATATATAGGCGGGGGTACCGAAAAACCCACGTAGCCATAGATGATATTCTATACAAAACATGATAATCAACTATTTCTTCAAAATAGTTACACTGCAATTGTGGTCCTAATGATGAGTTGCAAACCTAATAAACTAATTTTAGTGAATCACTTATGTTTAGTTTTTTGGTATGGAATAATTTCCGTATTAACTGAGATTTGTTTTACCGCTTATATTCTACATTTTCTTATTTAGTTTTGACATGTCACCAAAAGAATTCAAAAATTTAGATTGGTTTATATGGACTGCCGAGTTATTATAGCTCACTGTAGTTTTACTTTTAGTTTTCATAATTTGGATAATGGAAGGAGTTTGTTGATCAACAGTTTACAATCAGATATGAGATTATAAGTATTTCTTTGTTTTGATTTTTGTACAGCCATGTATATGTTATTATTCAGTTCTATTGTTTTATTTATAGCCATGTACTATAGTGTAGATACATTTTGATGAAATGAAAGAAAACTTGTGTGTGGGCTCCGAAAATTCGGCCCCGGCCTCTGCCCAATGATGATTGCTTTTCTTATGGCGAGGGAGTTTTAACACATTTAAGTTCCGGCGTAAATTTTGGAAGGCAGATGAGTTTGAAGATAAGACACTTCCTAGAGATTTCGCCCTCATTTTATGAAGACTTTATGATATGAGTTCTGGTTTCCTATAGGCGCAAGCACCTATAGTTAATTACCCCTCCCGATAATGAGAGAGAACTTTCGATTAAGGCTAGTCGTCAATCAGATACATGTTATCTGGCATATAGTAGCGGCATAGGTTTCAATGTTGGAAAATTTGAGAATTTTGGAGAATTGGAAGATTTGAATATTTGATATTTAAAATTGAAAATTTCACCATCTTGCACTTAAAGCGGATGGTGGGGGAATGGATGATGGACCCGATCAAGATCTCATGGTTCCGTCGTCCCGGGCCATCATGGACCTAGGTCTACTTAGTCAGAGAGGTAGTCGACCCAACCTAACAGAAGGATCATTGTCAGCAACCATGAGTTGCTTCGTGCAAGGAGACCTTGTAGACCTAGGGTGAATGTTTGTCTAAGGGGACAATTTGAATCTACCTTAGCTGACAGAGGGCTTTGTGCCCTATCGATTATATCTCAAGGATTTGATGCCAATAAGGAACGTATCGGCTCTGGTCATAGCCGGTATTTGTGGTGCCATTTGACGGCAAAATCACTCGGTTCAGAGGGCCCCGGGTAACCGTTTATCCTGTGGTGCCATTTGGCGGCAAAACTGCCGGTTAGAGGACACATAACACGTTCTTATTGGCAGGAGATTGTTTGAGAATGGATCACAGTGATATTTTCGATTAGGCATTTAGCTCTTTGTGAGTTGAAGTAAATTTTAATTTATCCACCTCGACAAACTGTTGCGGATGGTGGATGGATTTTGCTTTAAATATTGATGGATTGATTTCTGAATTTTAAATATCTGGAATTGAGATTTGGATTTGTGAGAATTTGAGTGGCATTTGAAAATATTTCTAAACCCCTCCGGTTGAGATAAACATTCAACACGGCCATCATCGAGGTGTTTGAGGTCATTTTCATTTTTTTTTATTTTTTAATTATTTTTTTAGGTCATTTCCATTTGATTGAACTTTGTCGACCCTATTAACTTGCCGATAGGGGATCGGGTTTCATAGGTTTTGTGTCCTTATTTGTGAATTTTCTTTGTTAAAGGTCTGAAGGCCCGATATGAATGTATAAAATAAATATTCTGGTCAACTTCGTGACCGCATATTTATCCGATGGTTCGAACTCTGTCTACTCCTATTTACATGCTTAGGATTATCAGGTTTCGTAGGTTTTGTGCCCTTGTTAGTGAATTCTCTTGATTATAGGCCTTGACAGCCTAATATTAATGCAATAAAACAAATATACCGGTCGTCGCGACCGTATACTTGTTTGTTGGTTCGAACCTTGTCGACTCCTATTGATCCGTATAGAATGATCAGGTTCGAATTTGAATTCACTTATTAACCCGCGCAGCATCCCTAGACATCTCGTGTGTACCAATAACACGCTCGCCGGGGCCTATGCAGGTTGTAATTGAATTTGAATTCACTTATTAACCCGCGCAACATCCCTAGACGTCTCGTGTGTACCAATAACATGCTCGCCGGGGCCTATGTAGGTTGTAATTGTATTTACCCCTTTTGTGTACCTATGTATATACAAATTACGGTGCATGTGCAGGGGTACATTGAAATAATTATAGTTATGCAGGTAATTGCCATTTGAGTGCACACAACATTTCATTTGAGAGCTTATACACGTCTTCTGTCCGCTAATACGAGTGTTGCGGATCCGGTGGCGGTCGTTGTAGATTGTAGACGCCTTCTGTCCGCTCGCATGAATGTTGCGGATTCGGTGGCGTGGCATTGTAGTCTTGTGGACACATTCTGTCTGCTCGTATGAGTGTTGCACATCCGGTGGCGATATCTGGAGGTCACAATCCATCTCGTCATCTTGATGTTGACTCCCCTTTCTCGTTCACCGGGAATTCTTTTTGAAGTTTGTAATCGTAGCTTTGAAATGATCTCTTTTAAGCTCTTTAGTGTAGTAGACTTGTTACTTCTGGTGTTTGTGGATACCAGAGTCATTTCCTTCCTAAGGTTAGAACCAAGAAGAAACTTTGGAATACTAGGAAGTTTAGTTCTAATTTGTTCAAGCATCTCTTCCATCCTGTCAGGGGGGGTGTCCTTTTTCGTACATCAAGTTGCTTTCATACCTGACATAATTTGCAGCATCTCAATCACCGTTGTTGTGGGTGACATCTGTACTTGTGCCCACAGTGATTCGTTGTACTTACGATATATACACTGTTGTTATCCACAAGTGGCTTGTGTTTGTTTGTGGGGGCCTATTGTATCCACTACGACCTCCTGGAAGTGTTCGTAGAAGAGTCATTATTCCTGCATAATGTCCATCTTTCACCAATCTCCGGTGGGTTTGATGTATTTGCACTTACTTTAGGGATGGATCTTCCACTATCAAGTGGTAGTGTTGCCTTCTACAGTCAACAGGCAAATGTAGGTACTGTCGTAAGAGTCTGTTACACCATGCCCGTACATGTTTGCTAGTGACTCGTTGAATTTGTGGCATATGAATTTCAATAACTCATAAGAGGTCGATGTGTCTATTAAGAGATGCCATTAACCATCGGGTTGATTGCATTCATCATTGATTTCTTTCTTCACATACGTTAGCCGCCCACTTGCCACATTCACTTGTGTGCTAATTTCCTTATGCTTATAAGGGACCGATGTGTTTACTTGCATGCCAAATCCCTTCACTTGCATATGGGGTGACATAATTATTTCATGCTCTTTGTAGATTGTTTAAATCTCAAGTTTAAGTTCTGTGTTCGGGTCCCCTGCAGTTACATTGAGTGCACTTGGATTTCAGTCAAGCTTTGTTCTTTGTATATGCTTGAGTCCAAGTTCAGGTGCACAAGTTCAAGTGCTCAAGTTCATAGATCCTTGTATTCAATCTGGTTTGAGTTCAAAGTACATGTTCAAGTGCTTGTTCAGGGTCTTCTGAAGTCCTTGCAAGTTCAATTTCACTTGATATGAATTTGGTTCCAGTTTGATCTTATTTTACTTGGGTTTGACCTTTTATTAATCATTTGAGTTTTGTTCAGGTTCAAGTCCACAAGTCATTGTTCATTTGAGTCCATATCAAGTCCTTTTGAGTTCAAACAGGTCCGAGTACGATTACATTTTCACCCGAAATTTCGACAGTCTCCCGACGTCTCCCCTGTTTAGAGGGAAAACTACGGAAAACTATGTCTTTCCAACCACGCTAAGAAAAGCGTGTATGGTAGGTGCCCTCTTTTGAGGATACCGTGACTGTGTAAAGTTTTTGTCCCCACCACGCTAAGAAAAACATGTATGAGTCTTCTACAGGTACCTGTTATAAGAGAAAAAACAGTTGTTTATCCGCAGGTACAAAGCCGCGTACGGGTTCTTAAGAGTTGTCCCGGGCAAGGTTTAAAATTGTGTAAATAACCCTTGAGGCGGTTTTCGTCCGTGAGGCGAGGCGTAAGCCTCGAGGCGGTCTGAGGCGTAAGCCTCACGGACGCAGAATTGCATAAATGAGAATTTGAGGATTTTAGCAGGTAAATAATAGCAAGATTCTATCATACAATAAAAACATCTAAATGACAAGTGGAATTAGTGGAAATTAAGAAAAGAGATGCAATAAAATCCTGTTTCAAAGTATAAAACCACAAAATTATAGTCTATCAGAACTCTCAAAATACAATTAAGAAGAAACATATAAAATTCAATCATATCCCATCACTAAATGGGTCTTCAAGAGAATATTCTTCTCCAATTGTATCTATGAATGTCATATCTTCATCTTCTTCAATATGACTCATTTTTCACTTTTCTGTTCAATAAGAATAATCATTAATTCATTATCATGTTAATTTCTCACTTGATATAAATATAATGCAATAGCATATAAGAAGTTGTGAAATACCTTTACTTGATTATTGTGCTGCAGAGCTAGTGGATGTGTGTGGTGTGATACTAGTGGATGTGTCCACTTGATCTGCTTCGCTCCTCAAGACATCCACACTTAGATCCTCTAGCTGTAAGTCTGATAATGGCAAATCTGTCTCATCATTTATGAATCATTCATTATCAGATGACACATCATAACACACCAATGGGTCCTCATCATCCTTCAACCCCTTATTTCTCAACCTCCTATCTCTTAACCTCTTGTTGCACATAACATATACAAGGGAGTTCATTCTGATTGTTGATAGCCGATTTCTTCTCTTTGTTTGCACTTGACTATATGTACTCCAGTTTCGCTCACACCCAGAAGAAGAACAAGTGAGGCCCAAAACTCTTATAGCAAAACTGTAACTCAGGGGTAGAATCATCAAATTGGATCCACCATTCAACTGTTTTCAAAAAGAAAAATAATAATCAGAACTTAATAAAATGTCTTGCATTTACCAAATTAAGTATACTTGGAGATCGTTTGACAATTGTTAATTTTGCTGCATGCAGACCGAAAAAACTCTCTTTATTCCAAAATAGAACGATTTGTAAATCTGCAAGCTCTTTATCTGTCTGCTCCGGTATTAGTCATTCCATGCAATGATACAGACCAAGCTTCACCTATGGGTTTGAAGATTTCCTCTATGAATATTGAAATTGAGGATTGAGATAATATGTCGCTGCATGTAGATGACGGTATAACTGTACCTCCCACCGAGCATCAATGATATTCCAAATCTCTCTATAACTTGCCTCCTCTTCTCCCAAATTGTGTGCAATCAACTCCTCGGCCTCATCTATAGCATTATAAATAAAATCCATGGTTGGTTTCTTCTCGGCATCTACTAAACGTAAAACTTACACCAAGGGTCTCGTGCTCAATATGGCATAAGTCACAGCAGCCCAAAATTTATCATTTAGAATTATTTTTCTTATTTTCTTCCCCTCACTTTTCTTCCCCCACGTAGAGTTAAGCTATTATGTTGATGTAAACATTGCTTCCAGAGATTGTCTCACATCCAACAGGCTCTGAAGTGTCAAATAAGATGTGACAAACCTATAGATTTACAGTGCACAAATGTAAGAACCTACATTAGGAATTGATAATGATTTGTAGTGCACAAATGTAAGAAGATACCTAGTGGTTGCAGGGTGAATGATTTCCTTATTTGAAAACTTTCTCATTAAGGCTAAGACCCCTGAGTGGTTGTATATAAACTTTGTGATCTTCTTCTCCCTAGAAAGAGCGCTCTTGTGTTGAGGTAAATCACCAAGTTCCTATAATATGTGATCGATACAGTGTGCTGCGCAGGGGGTCGGGGGTCTAATATAGGTGTTTCCTCTTCTCCATCAACATATGACCAGCTATTTTGTATGCACTGGCATTGTCAGTCACCACCTGAACAACTAATTGCTCCCCAATCTCCTCAACAACCCCATCTAGTAAATTGAAAATGAATTCAGCATTTTTAACCTCATCTGAAGCTTCAACTGATCGTAAAAACACTGTGCCGTAAGGATTGTTGACAAGGATATTAACATTAAATGGTATGGCATTCTCAAAAAAAAAATCTGTCAATATCCATGCAAACCTGCCGTCGACCCTCTCTCGTACCAGCCGCAGGCATCATCTGTATTTGTGTTATATCCTCTCCTGGATTAGTCATATACTGGTCCATAGGACCCCGCGCACCTCTATTATGTATAGTGGAGGAAGAGCCCTTTCCACTCTCGCTCCCAAAGTAAGCACCATGTTCGATCCTTTCATCAAATTGCTCCTGTTGTAAATGTTTGGCCGTAGTACTATTTTTCATATAAGCTGTAATTTTCTCATTCGCCTTATCCGGAACATTCGCACAATGTGCTACATTCTTATGTGAGACGGATAAGTGTTCATTCATGCGAGTTACTCCTCCCTTCACCACCTTATCACAAAAATTATATTTTAAATACACATATCTTATCGCCGCCTCCTACATCAACTTGCATACTGTATTTCCAAGAAGGGTCACGCCGCAATGACGTATTTGTCTTTTCATCAATCAGTACTCACCAACTGTGGAGCATATCTGGCTAAAGTAGTAAACTCTGCCTCGTACTGCAGAACTGTCTTGCTCCCCTCAACCAATCTCAGAAAAGTCTCATGCATTTGTTGTCTTGCAGAAGGGGATACAAACCAAGAACTAAATACTTCAGAAAATTCTTCCCATGTAATCAGAGAGTTCAGTTTACCTTGAAATTTCTCCTCCTGCTGGCCCATCCACCAGCGCTCCGCTTCACCATCCAACAAAAAAACTGCTAACGGTACCTTTCTATCAGGAGGACATTGCATGCCATCAAATGTCTTTTCCGATCTCCTCAACCAATCCTCAGTTGCTCTGGGCTCAACAGTGTCCTCAAACCTTGGAGGCTTCAATCTCAGAAACATTTGTAGATGTTTATCTACATCTTCAGATCTAACAGCAGAAACTCTATTCTGCGTCTCGCTCATCATCTGAGCAACTAACGTAGTAAACTGTGAAACTGTATCTGAACCAACCACTGGGGCAGAACTATTCACAGGAGCTGCCTGACTGGCACTCTGCCCATCAGTCATATCTGGGTCTGGCAGATCCATATCACACAGAATACAACTATGCACACAAAACAAAATAATAAAAATCCAAACAAACCGGAACTACCCTAACAGACTTACAGATCAAGTCCTATAGCTCTGTCTTACAATCCCATATTCCAAAACTATGCTCTGATACCACTCTAATTGTCACGACCCAACCCGACCGGAATGAATCCCATCGCGTCGAGTCGCGACGGATGAATCCAGGATCTAGCTTTGGAATTTGGTTTTAGACTTTCTTTCAAATAATCATACAGAAAACATAGAGCTACTATAAACTTCTAATATACAGTAATTCATCAATCATTTTCTTTCTTCTCATTCTTCAAAATAATCATGTACAATACAGTGCATGACAATAAACAGAAAGAAAAGAACAGAAGAACAGAATAGTCATGACCGTACAAAAATCAAAAGTACAAAAATACATAATCTCAGATCAGACACAAAACGGCTAGTCCAACACCTCATTCCCTTTCCCGGAACCTGAAAACCACGCAGATAACAAGGATGAGCTAACAGCTCAGCAAGACTACACTAGCCAAATAAAATCTCCAGAAATTCTCATATCAAAATACGCATAAAGGCGTTAAAAACATTTGCCATACAGAATTCAGATAATCGTACAACAATCAGAATATCAGACAGAGGTCAGAGATTCACACAGAACAGAAATCAAATAGAATACATATATTCGTTCAGAACAAATGAAGTAACAGAGACAGAAGAACTGAATCAAATTTACATCACAGAATTATTCAAATCAGAATTTAATCAAAGTTCAGAACAGATTTCAGAAAACATTCAAATCAGGTATCGAAAGCACAAACAGTCGGAACTTCATTTTTCAATAAACCCTAAACCGAATCTCAAGTTCTCAACAAAAAATCTGTTAATGTCTTTATGATTTCATAATATACTAATTAACTGCATCTACAGATAAAAATTCGTAAAAAACTAAACAGCTAAAGGAGTAAAAGGGAAACCCTAATCGGTATTTCAACGCAACACTGCCACAGCAACTTCAAAATGGAAGGAAGAATCGAAGAAACAAATAACTAAAAAATCAATGCTTCCGTAACAAAAAATCATAAAAATTTGCAACACTCATTGCTTGACTTCAAACTTCAAAGAAAACCGAAAGCAAGTTAACAAAAAAATCAAACCAACGAGCTTATGAGCCGATGAGTCGATGACGATTGACGAAGAACGGAAGAATGAAAGAGCCGCAGAGGCGCAGAGGAGGAGATCTCAGCGAAATCGACCGCAGAGGCGCAAAGAGCTTAGGGTTTTCTCGCTCGAAGAGAGACGAACGCTCGCAGTCTCGCTCGACGGCTCGGGAGTCGGGATGGCCACTTAAAATTTAAGTTGAAATCTTAAATCTTAAAATTAAAAATGTTAAATGAATAAATGCGAAAACGGGTCAAACGGGTCATTTTCGGGTTACCCGGGTTGACCCGAACCCGACCCGAAATGCCATACGGGTCAAAAACCAGAACCCGAACCCGACCCGTTTCGGGTTCGGGTTGACCCTAACCCGAATTTCTCGGGTCGGGTTCGGGTCGTGTTTTCGGGTCGTGTCAAATGTTGACAGGCCTAGATTCAAGCATATATCTGGCAGAGCGGCGAGACAATTCTGCGTCGAACACATAGGAAATGAGTACTATAGCAGGCGGCGGGATGGGGCACTGTAGTAGATGGCAGGATTTGAGCAGGTGACATGGAGGTCAACACGTCGCCCGTCGACTACGGTCCTTTCGATCACCGTAGCCCGGCTACGGTCCCTTCAACCTCATTCGTCCAATTACGGTCCTTCCGACCTTTGTTGTCAGCCAACTATTGTCCTTCTAACCTCTGTCTCTTGACTACGGTCCTTTTGATCTCAGTCCCTCCCAACTACGGTCTTTCGACCTCAATCGCCTGACTAAGTTCCTTCCGCCCTTAGAGATAGGATACAAAATGAGCATATACATGATAAGGTTGCAGTAACTCCAGTGAAAGATAAGATTAGAGAGAGTCGCCTTAGATGGTTTGGTCACATTAAACGGAGGCCTCCGATGACCTGGTTAGGAAAGTTGAGGTTTTGGATTTGACTTATGTTAAGAATGGTAGAGGTAGACCTAAAAAGGCTTGGTTAGAAAATATTATAAATGATCTCTCTTTATTAGATTTAAATGAGAATTTGAATTTTAGCATTGCACAAAGGAGAAAAAGGATTCATGTAGCCGAACCCCACCTAGTGGGATAAAGACTTGATGTTGTTGTTGTTGTATCTGATTGGATATTATTGCGGTGTATTAAAATTGTTCAAAACTGTATACGATAGCAAAGTAGGTTGGTTTATGGGGCATTATTTGTCCTTATTCCAGAGTTCAAATATCGAAAGTCTGCAATTCTTCATATTAGCACAAGCCACAAGCAACATTAAAGCTCAATGAACTTAGATCTGCAGAGTACCATAGGCTCTTTTTGCCCTTGTATGGATTTGGCTAAATATGAGCAGCTGGTGTTTGGAAACCAATTGTGTCAAAATTTCCTAATTTGATTTGTAGTAGGACTTCATTGTAGCCTATGTTCCTTCAATATATAATGTGTTTTTCTTGCAGTAGGCTATGTATTAAAGTTTTCTTTCATTTCATTCATAGTTTTGCATATTGATTATTTGCCTTATGCTTAAAATTCTAATGTAAATCTTTTTAATTAATTACTTATAATGACTTGTGTTCTATGATATCTGCTACCCATATATATATAGAAATAAAGTTCCACATGCTGTTCTGATTGGCGCCAAGGGTATTGGATTTCTGATGCCTGAAACTTAGGAATAAACAATATGGAGAAAACTTTGAATGATTAGAACATTATACAAGATGTGGCGTCAGTTGCATCTTCAGGTACCAGTAAAAACTTATTAGACCTATGATGATCTCATAAGCTTATGTGGGTGATAGTATAAGAAGAACAATAACAATGTCTAAAGTAGCAGAAGCTCTACCAACAGAACCACTATTTGAAGGTGCAAATGTTTGAGCCAATTAGTTGATGAGTTGCTTATTTAGCCAATATCAGCTCATATTGGACTTGAATTGAGCCTTAATGTTGGTCATATTGAGCAAGCTCAAAAATTAAATTGCATGTATGTGTTGGATTAGTAGTAGGTGAAAATTGATTGAGTATCAATTTGTAGCTCAGTCAAAGTTCATCAGCCATATATGAAATTCAACCACCATTAACTCCTAAATAAAAGAATGGCCTAGCACTGTGAATGATAGTATTAATAGCCCATATGGTTTTAGTATGGCTCATTATTTTTTAATGATTTTTTTTTTTGTGATGTCATATGATAGTTTGTTAAGTAATTTCTACAATTTTTTTTATAGCATCTATTAAGATGAAGAGTGTCATTAAAGCTTTACTTGGAAGATGAGCTTCAGGGGAATTTAGGCATTGTTTGTTTTTTAGATTTAATCAAATATCTTAATGATGATGAACACAAAATTAAAATTGGATTAGTTCTTATTTATATTTGATATATATATATTATAAATTATATTGTTAATTATCTCATTAATTATTTAAGTACTCTTTTATTCGTTAATTATATAATTATTATTTATATTGTTAATTATATAATTAATAATTTCTATTTAACACTATATTAATTAAGTACTAATTATTAATATTTTAATTACATTAATTAAATTAAATTAGATTTTTTTTTTTCCAAATATCTTAGCGGGCGTCAACGGTTTGCTTTTCATCTTCTGTATTTCGTCGATGCTGTTCGACTTCGTTGCTTGGCGTTCGCGTGAGGTAGAGTTTTGCACGAGTCGCTTCTTCGGCTCCGTTGTTGCTGTTCGACTTCGAGTCACTTATTCGGCTCCTTCGACGGCGTTCCTTTCCTGTCGGATCGGAAGTCACGACTTTTTTATCGGAAGCAAGGACGGGAGCTCGCTTGCTCGCTGTGAAGGTAACTAATCTTTCTCGCATTCGCGCGATTCTTCGGCCAAATCCATTAAATCCGACGAAGTTATCAGAGTCTTAACTTTATTATGGAGCCGTAACACGCCGCCGTCATGAGGGGGATGCCGGTCATCCCTACCGAATATGTAAAATTCAAACGATCTTTTCATCCTCCCTTACCCTTTCCTCTTCCTTCAAGATTGTTCTCGCTGTCTTACGTTCAATGCTCCATCTCAGTCCAGAAGGATGATCTCATCCTGCCTCCCCGCTGCTCTGTTGAAGACCCTCTCGATGACTTCATCTCTCTGCTTAAGAACTCTTCAAGAGTTCTTTCAGAAGTATCTTCTCTTCATTCCCGAGCAATGAAGGCCGGCTTCACTGAATATGGACAGGTTAGCACAACGCTTCTCAATCTCTATGCCAAATGCTGTTCATTGGATAACGCATGTAAGCTGTTTGATGATATGTCTCAAAGAAATGCTCTCAATTGGACGATTCTTCTTACTGCCTGTGTTCGTAGCGGTCATAATGAATTAGGGCTGAGCCTATTTTCTCGTATGCTAGTAGATGGAGTATTGCCTAATTGCTTTACTTTGGCGACTATTTTCAAGTGTTGTGCAAAGAAGAACAATATTCTTGAAGTGGGTAAAAGCATTCATGGATGGATAGTTAGGAATGGAATTGAAAAGGATATTGTGCTGCAAAACTCAATTCTTGACTTCTATGCAAAGAGTGAATCCTTTCAGTATGCCAGAACGGTTTTTGAGATTATGACTGAAAGGGATACTATTTCATGGAATGTTATGATTGGCGTCCATATAAAGTTTGGTGATCTGAATGGTGCGATGGAATTATTCAGAGCATCACCATCTCAGGATGTTTCGAGTTGGAACACTTTTATAAGTGGGCAAATGCAGAATGGATCTGACAAAGCAGCTCTACAGTTTCTCCATCTCATGGCTAAGGTTGGTCCTATGTTTAATCATTATACTTTATCTATAACCCTGGTGTTAGCTGCTAAGTTAGCTCTACTGGATTTGGGAAAGCAGATACACAACAAGTTGTTGAGACTTGGATTTGAGAATGATGCATTTATTAAGAACTCCCTAGTAAATATGTATTCCAAGTGTGGTAGGATGGAAACTTCCTTGACCATATTTTGTGACAGAGTTCAAGGAAATAAGATCTCACAACTTGCACCAGCATTCATAGAACCTCTAGCAAATACAATTTCATGGAGTACTTTGATTGCTGGATTTGTCCAGAATGGGACAACAGAAGAAGCTCTTGTGCTCTTCTGTAGGATGTTATACGAAGGTGTAGCAGTTGATTCATATACTCTCACAAGTATTGCTTCAGCCTGTGCTGATGCAGGAATTCTTGAGCAAGGAAGGCAGATACATGCTTGCATTGAGAAATTAGGGCATGGATTTGATGTCTTCTTGGCATCTGCAATTATCGACATGTATGCTAAATGTGGAAGTTTGGATGATGCCAGGGAAATTTTCGACGGCATAGAATGTAGGAATGTTGTCTTTTGGACGTCGATGATTGTTTCCTATGCCTTGCATGGTGAAGGGAGAGAGGCCATCAGGGTTTTCGAAATGATGCTGGACAAGAAAATCATGCCAAATGAGATTAGCTTTACAGGTATCTTGTCTGCTTGTAGTCATGAGGCTTTGATTGTAGAAGGTTATAAATATTTCAAGTTGATGCAAAAGGATCATGGAATAGTTCCTACAATTGAGCACTTGAATTGCATGGTTGACCTCTTAGGCCGATGCGGTCTACTTGATGAGGCAAAGAATTTCATTTGCAAATACAATCTTAGACATCATAGTGTTGCCTGGAACTCATTGATATTAGCTTGTCGAGTTCACGGCGATATTGAAACAGCAAGATGGGCTTCCGAGCAACTGGTTCAAATTGAACCACATGAAGCTGGATCTTATGTTCTTATGTCTGGTATTTATGCCATTAAAAGAGAGTGGGAAGCGTCCTCGAGGTTGTGGTGTGTGATGAAAAATAAAGGGTTCAAGAAACAACCAGGCTGTTCTTGGATTCAGCTTAAGGACAAGGTTCACTCGTTTGTTGCAGGAGACAAATCACATATTGAATCTTCGAAGTTATTTTCGCACTTAGAGAAGTTGGGAGATTTAAAAGATTTGGGTTATTCAACCGGGACTAACTTGGTTCTTCATGGTTTAAGGGAAGAACAAAGAGAGCTGGTTCAGTAACTACCGAACGAAAATTGCTTATGGCATCATCAGCAGCTCAAATGGATTACCTTTGAGGATCATGAAAAATGTCCGAGTTTGTGGAGATTATCATGAAACAAACAAGTATATCAGCCAAGCTGCAGGTTCAAGGATATAGGTTTGATATTATTGAATTAATTGAGTTAGTTTGTGTAGTTGAGTAGCTCATTTATGTAAAGCTTAATAATAAATGACCAATTCAACTATATTAATTCTCTTATTATGTAAACTACATCTTAGTTTAATTCTGTTATACACATTTCTCAGGATTAGAACAATTGATAACAAGCGGTGTGTGTGCAAATATCTTTGACTATAATATCATTTAATTTGTGATTAAACTCATACATTCATTTATATTGGTTATTCATATATTGTACATCTTCTTTCTTATATGTGTATGAATGAATGCAACAAGTGGATCATCAAGCTTGTTATCAACACATGTCCTATATTAAAGAAAACAGTGTAATCCCGTGGGGGCAAAAACCCATTATGCATAACAAACATTTTATTATTATTATTATTATTATTATTATTATTATTATTATTATTATTATTATTATTATTATTATTATTATTATTATTATTATTATTTGTGATTGTAATAATATAGGAATGCATTGGGCATGTTGTGTGATAAAAAAAGTATCCCTTAAATTCAAGGAAAAATCCTATAGGATGGTGATGACCTGCAATATTTTATGGCAGAGAATGGTTGCCGTTAAAAGATAAGCATAAAATTAAGTTAAATGTTGTAGTCTTGTAGATATGAAGATGCTTAGGTGTAGGCAGAAGGAAAAATGAGTACATATGTGAAAAATGTTAGAGTAGCTCCAATAGTAGATAAGATTAGAAAGAGTTGTTATAGATGATTTGACCACATAAAATATTGCCCTTCCATTGACTCAATTAGGAGAGTGATTGTGTTAGATTTGACTGATGTTAGGAGATAGACCTAAAAATATTTCATTAAAAAGTATTATAAATTATCTTTTTTTGTTCGATTTAAATGAAAATTTGACTCTTCATAAGATACAATAGGGGGTAAATGATTCATATGGTTGACTCCACAGTGAAATAAAAACTTGATATTATTGTTATTATTTGTGATTGTCGGAGCTTTAATGCTTCATGATTTAAATGTACGGGCCTGATAAAAGATTGTGTATCTAGTGCCTGATTGCTTCGATCAATGAATAAACCTTTGTGGTTTTGGTTATGATAATTTTTCTTTTTTCTGAAGTCCATACTTCAGATGCTTATCAAATTTTGGAGAATTGACATGAGCAAAACTAGCGCATTAGTTATCAGTTCCTTGTAACAAAGGTCTTTTGTGTAGAGTACAGCCAAGTGAGAGAGGCTTATTTAAGCAGATAGATTACTTGTGTAATAATTGTGCTAGAACTCTTGTCAAATAATGAAAATCTTCATTTGGCCAATCTAAAATTCTTTTGATTTTTCCGGAATTAGCAAAAAAAACCTTCCTCAAAAATTAAAAATCCTAAGGAATTCACTTTGGGATGCATAAAATCATACCTAGTTCAAGTTCATATTTAGCTTTCAATTGTAGAGTGCAGATAAGTGACAAAAGTAAGCCGTTTTTTGAGAATACAGATGTAGCTTATTAGTTGGGAGCTTGGGCTGTAGGACAAAGAAGAATAGACTAGACACTAAATAATAACTCCAATAAATAAGAATATTTACTTACAAAACATTTATATACAAACATAGAACAGCCGATCAATAAGAACATATTTATACACAAACATAAAATATCCGAATGAATCAAAGAAGCAACTTTCAAAGAAGGAGATGGAAGGGAGTGGACAGTAAGAAGTGAGTCCAATTACAGATCAATGAACATTTCATCATTCAAACTAACATTGACAATACAATATGCATATCATATGAATGCTTAGAGAAGCTTAGGTTACTGGAAGTGCAGTAGCAGCAGGCCGGTATAAAGGCTTTATCTGCAGAGCAGGACTAATGGAAAGGAGGCTGATGAAGCAGTCCACTGGCACCCTCATGCCCCACACATTGATTGACTTAAGCTTGCGGCATTTGTATACGAGTGCAAAGAGGCCGTTCTCGGTAACATGGCGGCAACTCCATAGTACAATTGACTACAAAGTTCAAATTAACAACACCAACAAGTAGTCAGTTGGTTCTTGAAGAGGAGTTTGATAAATATAACTGGTTGAAAAGGAATCACTTGCAGAAAAAAATAAAAAGGTCTGTCAAAATAGCACCTAACCACACTCAAATCTTTAGCAAGCATTGCATGTTTCTCACGTATTGAGACCATTTTTATGATGATTTTGAACAAATATGAAGCAGTAATTGCTTCTCTGGTCCACACAATTAGTAAATTGCCACAATTTAGCAAATATGCAAGTCCTAGCAGTTTGACATTTTGAATAGGATGTCATAAGTTAACTGGCTACAAATGATAAGCTGAAACAACATCTTAACTTAAACAAAAAATTATAAACAGAAAAAATGAAGGACATAAGGCCTGATCAATTGATCACCTTACCAAGTTGAAAAGAGTGCTTCTATATTTAAATACCAGTTTTAAAGTTCCTCATTCTAAATTAAGTGCCAATACTTTGCATTGCAGCATGATTGCAACATTTAAGCAACGGATTTTTATGTATTAGTTGATATGTAGACCAAACACTGAGATTGAATGAGAGTTAAACATCCATGTGCTGCCTAATACTGGGCTTATGAGTTATTATTTTTTACGTTGATCATATAGAGACTATAAGCATGAAAACCTACATGTGAATATTAGCATGAGTAGAACATGCCCCACGCTTTGAACTTTTCCATTATTTTTCTCCTCTCGGAATGAAAAAAAAAAAACAGGGCATTATTTAGCACTGTTAAACTTATAGGAATGTACCTTAAAGAGCAACATAATTCGAATCTTTGTTCTCTTAACTCTGGTACATGCGGCAATATGAATTAGTTAAGTCCACTGAGAAGGCATGCTATATAATATAATTTGCAAATCATGATTAAAACTCTTATCAATTATGTGATATCTATATATAAAACATTCAATCACAAATAACTTATTCATTAATGATGTGATTCTATGTGACTTATCCATGTTTAAGACAGTCTTACATTCTTGTTAAACCTAGAAACTTCATAATTATGCAAAACATAATCTTTTTGCTGAAGTTTTAGCAAACAAATCATCCACCATATGCCACATAGAAATGTACTTAAACATCACTTCTCATTGTGCAATCATATCTATCAAGAAATGATATCTTGTTTTTTTGTTTAATTGTTCCATGATAATTTGGGTCTTTCGCATACACCAATGCAACCATAATATCATAAGTTCATAACTGTCCTAAATAGCTACAAAATATTTCAATATTGCTAATTGACATGCAACTATTCTTCAATTTATTTGATCCAATCATAATTTGGGCGTAATTAGTAATAAATTTCATTAAATAACAGCAAAACTGTAACTAGTGTATCTATTGTTGCCTTTAATCTCAAATACTAATTAAGCCTCAAGAGACCAATATTCAACAGTGATTAATACTAGTTTGAAACTACATTACTTTCTTTATTAACAAAGTACACAAAAAGATTGATGGGTATATAATTTTCTCACTACTCCAAGAAATTTTCAATTAACCTAGTCTCACTAAAACGCATTTAAGAAAAAATAAAGGAGTTAGAGTTAGCTCAATCTTAATTACTAGTCTTAAAAATAATTGTAGAATATAGTTTACAGTAAAAAAATCATTCACGAGCATGTATGGCAACAAAAATAATAGTAAAAGTTAAGGAATTCAATTACCTTCAAGTGAGGGCAGCTATTGGCAATTGCAAATAATGATTCATCCGTTATAAATGTGCCTCCAATGTTCAGATGCTGCAATGATGCAGCCTTTGAGACCTGTAATGAACCCAAACAATGACTATGCTTACATTTAAGGTTCAAATGATGACAATACATAGATGTAATAGTAGTCTTCACAATTCCATAGATTAAGATAGCCTACTCAAAGAAACCATAATGATCAAAATTAAGAAATATCATCTATAATTTCACTCTCTGCTTGCTTGACATTATAACATAGAAAAACTACAAATAGAACAACAAAACGCAGAGGTAGTGCATGAAGGCCCCATGATTGTAGGGTTTAGGAAGGAATTACATTGCAGAAGCTATTATTATTTACTTCACCTCGCAAGAGTCAACCCACAACATTGAGCTATAGAGTTATATAAATCTACCAAAACAAATATATGAAGAACCATAAAAGCTTATACCAATTGAATTACACCATTATCAGTGATTCCGGCCATGCCCCATACAGAAATAGACATCAAATTGTTGACACACTTGGCAGAAGATATCATATACAGCCCTTCATCGGTTATCTGACAACCCCAGCAACTCCGAGAGCTACAAAACACAAATACGAGAAGAAATAATGGGATATCAGAAGTTACCAAATTAATTCTAACCGTAATAAAACTTCACAAAGCAAACTTCCATTTTCGCAAAATGTATTGCTTCTAATGTGAATAGGCAAAACCACAAACACATCAAAGGCATGGAACGCGCTAAAGGAGTCAGGATTCTTTAGGTAAAAGGCCACCAGAGAAGAGTGAGCATAATAGACTTTGAGAATAAAAGAAAAGAAGAAGTACATGTCGAGCTCCTTGAGGTTATATGAAGCTTGGACGAGCCGCGTGGCGGAGCTGTCGTCCACCTTCCAACCGGCGAAACTCAGCCTCTCCTTCCTTGCAAACGACTGCTCTACCCCCGACTTCCATTTCCGGCAAACCCCGCTCGCTCTGCAAATCAAACCCAAACCTCGACAGAAATTCGCTTAAACTCAAACAAATAAAGAGGGATTTTTTTTTTTAAGAGGAAAACTCCTCCCTGATACTCACTTGGCTAAATCTCTGAAGGATGAGATCAGGGAGAAGATGTGGGCGAGGAGGTCCACCGGAAGCCGCTCGATCTCCGCCTCCATCTCAACGCTGATCATTTCGATCCTCTGTCTCCTCCCACTCTTTCTCAAAGCGTACAGTTGGAATATAGAGAGAAAAGGAAAAAAAAAAAAACTCTTGGCCAATCCGCCGTTCCAAACGAGAAAATTTACAGAGAAGAATACAGAGAAAAAGGAAAGAAAAAAAATCTTGGCCAGTCTGCCGTTCCAAACGAGCAAATTTACACACAAGAATACAGAGAAAAAGGAAAGAAAATAAATTTCTTGGCGAGTCCGCCGTTCCAAACGAGGAAATTTACATTTAAGGGTCAGCAGAAGCATTAAGAAATTATTTCTGTAAATACATACTAATTATGCCAACAAGTATAAATTTTTAAACATCCGTATGCATTCCTGTACGTATATTTCAGAGAGAAAGAGAGAGATTTATCTGCCATGCATAGAATAATTTATCTTTTTTTATTGTTTTTATTCTTTTTACAAGAAAAAATGTTTGTTGCGGCATAGTGTGGTCATCTTCTCGTCATCTTCATCGTTACAGGACGGCACTGTTCTTTGAGGATGCATGAGAAAAATGTCAGCAGCTTTTAGATCAAACACGTGATTCACGTGGGATTTTTAATAATTAAACATTTTGAGATCAATATTATATTTCAGCTCTCAACTTGAAACAAAAAAATAATAATAAAAATTGAAGACTAAACAAAATGAGTGACCGCATCAAAATTTTGGTTGCTTGTTGGATTATAAATGGATGTGTGTTGATAAGTAGAATTTGATAATCCCAAGTTATCAAGCCTTTATTATTATTGTTCGTTTTTCTTTTTCTTTTTTTTTTTTCTTTTCTTCTTAGAATTATTGGTGATAGATAGATTTAAATTGTTTTGGAATCAATCCAAGCTTGTCGCATCTTGAGCCCCAAATGTAAAAGAAATGATGAACAAATTTAATCTCAATTCAAGTGACAAATTTTAGTAAAAATAGAGTTTTTTTTATATTATTGAGAAAATGATTTATTAACAAATATGTGTGCATGAAGACATAAAGTCATAAATATAAAAATAAAATTTTATTGCATTAATATTATTGTGTCCTTGAATATTCGAGGCAATAGAGATATAAGATTTAGCATTTAAGTTTCATACGAAAATCCAACACACAAACAGATAAACAGTGTGAGTGTAGCAT